TTTCAATTACCGGGTATTAAAAACTAGGATTCCCTCTGGCTCCTGAAAACATTTTTCAATTTTTATTCTCTAAATTTATGTCTTTTTACATTAAAAAATGTGGCGGTTAAAAATGGAAACGATATTTAGAAAAATGATAGTGAAAATGTGAAATGACATAACAATACAAACTTGTTTTTCATGTTTTCCTGACAACTTTTTTATTTATGATTTACACTAATATAAACCACCCGAAATGCTATTATTAATTAATATATGAATTTGGAAATGGATATTAGAAAAAGCTTTTATCTGCTACATGGAACCTATCCTTGGAGGACTTTCAGAAGCAAACACGTCTTGATTACTTTTGTTGGCTAAATGGATTGATTACTGCAAACTTGGTATCTTGGTGGATAGGCGCAGGCAATTTCCATTGTAAAAAATTATAAGACTTTGGTAGTTATATAGGAAACTTCATTTTAACAGATTTTTAATTTTTTAAAATTATTTTTTTCTGTTCCCAGTTGGTAAGCTTCATTTTTGATGATAAAGGACACTGACTTGCTCGTGACTTCCAAATTTTGTGTTGTGATGTTGAAAATTAATGTTGCAATACTAGGTTAGTTGAATTGTTCTTTAGAGAATTTCTTTTACATGAGTTGTGTCTTCAATCCAGAATTTTTGAATGCGGATGATGATGAGGTAGCTGACAATGACGACAGCATACCTTGTGATGAAGAAACTCGCCTTCTTGAGAACAGTGGATGGTCTTCACGTACAAGGTGGGTTTCCGGGACTTGGCAAATGCCGTTTTTGGTAGTACTAATGTTACTAGTAACATAAAATTTTATCACTTCTTTAGAGGAAATGAGCCTTTCAAACTATTGTTTTAGTCCTTTTTAGTATGTCCTTCCAGTTCTTTGTGACTTACATAACATTGTTTTTAAATAGGGCTGTGGCCAACTACCTCCAAACATTATTTGACAAGGAAGCTGTGAATGGAAGGAAGGTCCTCTTGATGGACAATCTATTAAGTGGTAAAACTCGTAAAGAAGCATCAAGGATGTTTTTTGAGACACTGGTATGTGTATCCCACTTTCTTGGATTTAAGTTGGTTTCACTGTCTGGTAGATTCTACCATAGAGAGGGCACATATAATTTATTGGGGAAAAAACAAGAGAGCAGGTTTTGTTGATTGAGAGAGTCTCATTGATCGGTATCTAATGTTAAGAATTGAAAGTCCTAGGTAACTCATATCTTTAGCTGTTGCATTATACATGTCAGAGTACGATAGTAAAGGCAATTTCTCCAATGAAGGGGAAAAGCAAAAAGAGCTGGGTTATTTTAGCAATTATTGTGGACATATTATTGGCACTTTGAAGTTCTGTGCGATTGCTCGGCAATTTGTTGATGAAGAAGAATCTTATAATAATCATTGGTATGAATTTTGTGAGAGCAAAGATATGTAGGGGCTAGGTCTCTTAACTGTTGTCTATTTATGAAATTAAGGAGTGGCGTGTTTTGTTTTTAACCAGGTTTGAATATCTTTTGGTTATGCTAAACCCATAATGAAATCAATTGATTGGGATCTGTCCTTTTTCTTTTTCTCTCTATTTTACTCTATTTATTAAAGTTCTTGGAACTTGCAGGTTCTGAAAACAAAGGATTATATCCACGTAGAACAAGCAAAGCCCTTCGAAAATATTAATATAAAGGCTCGAGCAAAGCTCATGAAGTCAGACTTTTGATGACACAAAATAGGAATGCAGATATGTACCAATGTAATTTTCTAGTTAGGGTGATGCTCGGCCCAGATTTTTTTTATACCTTCCCCTCCCACTTGATTACTTTTTGTTGTTTTTTTAACCTAAATTACACCCTTTATCATTTAGTTGATGTAATTGGTAGTGGGTTAACAGTGGGTCGAGAAGTAAATGTCATTTATATTAAATGTAACTACACTACAAAATCGGATCATAATTATGTATATATCTGTATGATATTACCATATTAGCAATTCAGATGCTAATTTTGTGTTTAATTGAGACTGGTTACGTCCTGTATTTTGAGATATGTGTGCCCTGTGTATGTATGTCCATGATGTGGTGCAAGACATCTTTTTAAACTTTTCCCCCCATAGAGAGAAGACAAACAATGAGGGCGGCTGATGCCAATGGAGAATTCCTATGTTGTGTGGCTTTGATTTTAAAATTATTTTGCTTTTGTACTGTGATATTTTAGTTGCTAGGTGCATTAGTTGTTGTCTGTCCCTACTTGTGGCATTTCTTCTTCCTTTTTAACTTTAGATGTAGTATGTTGTAGAATAAAAATCTCGATCTATACGGTTTATTTATAAGACAAAGGGAATACGTTGCTTTTAGTCCTAGAAAGTAGAAACCCAAATAATAATTCAATTTAGATGAGAGTAAAAAGAAACTTTCAATTAAAAGGTAGAGAGAAGAAAATATTCAAATAATAAATATCAATTAAATCACTTTATACCTATTTAGCTAGGAGGTAGTCACAATAATATGGAAAGGGCTCTCTATGTGATTGTGACATTTGGGGCATTTATTGTCATTCACAATGTGCGACACTTTTTTCAATGTTAGTGAGCAAACGATCAGAGACCGAGATCGATATGAATGTAAGATCACTCAGATACAAGGAGGAACCAAATAGTTTTACAATGAGGTTTTTACATATGTTTGGCGGGTGAGGATAAGAAGGAATAGATTGCCTTAATAGAGAACCTATTATTCGTAGGATAGGGCCAAACAATCTATCCATATTCTAAATACTAAGTCTAACTCTATATGAGTCATCTCAAGGTACACCCACCATAGGAAGAGGGACACAAAGTCATCCCATTGTTAGGACCTATTAGGAAAGGAACTTTGATTAACTTTATTTTATTCGTGTTGTTTGTTTAGTTAACCTGATCTATGTTATCAAATATGTTTATACAAAAATTATTTAATTTCAATTTATTTATTATAGATTATCAATTTATAATTGTATTACGTGTTATTAAAGTCCTTAACTAATACTTGTTGCATATTATTGTCAGATGAGTATTAAGTAGACATATAATGAGGGTCCTACTTTTTGAAGGTAAATCCTTGATTAGGGATTTGGCATTTATTTATTTTTTTTCTAAAGAAGAAATATAAATAAAAAAAGCTTTTTTGGAGCAAGTATACTATAAGAACTTCTTGCTTATTCGTTCTCTTCATTTTGTTATTGTTGTTTCCTTAGGAGGTATAATAGATAAAATATAGTGAAAGTACATAAAGAAATCATCCCACTTTGAAATTCTCGTTTATGAGTCTTATTGATATTTCTTTCGAAGATATGAGTCTTAAAGAGTGGCTAGTCTATATCCAGGGTACTCATAAGATCTCTTACATTCCTTTTATTTCCAATCATGTCAAATAATTGTTGTGAGGAATTAGCACATTTAGATGTAGGTTCGTTAGTTGATCATTCTCCATAATTGTTGACCATGCTTCTAGACTCTTACCACATTAGCTCAAGGTGATTTTAGATTATGTTGATGAGTAGTAATGACCATGGCTTGTTAAGAGTCTAGACTAATTTGGATTTGGTGGATTAATCGACCTAAAGTTGAACAATGTCTTTTATAAAATATGTGATATTTAGTTAGACCAATTTAATCCACTTGAATTGATAGATCACTTTAATCCTTATATCTAGAAGCCTTAGTCAGGGCCTAACTAAGTGCAACTAATCTCAATTTGTGAATTAGTTTGATGCTCAGATTGTCCAAGTACAGAAGTAGAAAGTATAAGATCAGCAACATATACAATGGATAATTATTGGAAGATATTAGATTATTTGGATGTGGTCAACAACTACTATATTTTGGAAAAAGAAATGGATACCTTGAGTAACTACGTTTTAAATAAGGTATTGTATGAGTTTGTTGTTTGCTTATCCAAGCAGTCTGTAGGTTAGGTTGGACATCATGGCATACACAATGATCTGGCCTCAAGGTGTTGATACAATTGGTTTGCCTATGTCTTTGAAACAATTGTAAAAGGCTATTCGATCATATTGTTACACTCATCAAAGACATATTGATGTGAATCTAGTCAACACCTGCAAGGAAACTCAGTCTCAGGAACCAAACGTAGAAACAAAGAGGATCGAAGACGGCCTTAGAGAGTTAGGAAAATAAATTCAAATGCCTCATGGGCCCATCACAACGAGCCGGGCAAAAAAATTCCAACTTGCATTTAATATGCTGGCCCAAGAATGGAAAAACAAATAGTAGGATCAAGGTAGGCCAACCAGCCTTGGAGAAGAAATGGGAGCACAAGCTACTCACGTGAACGTACTCACATACGTGTGCGAACAACCACATGTGTGAGAAGGGGGTATCGCGCTTGCGGGAACCTCACCAGTGTGAGGCACGTGTATAAGGCATGTGGGAAAGCCAACCCGCACGCAATGGATCATATATGTGCAGAACAACCCACTACATCGACATGGGAGAAGCGCATGCTTGAAGTAGGTTGCGCGCACATGCGGCACATGCTGCAGAAGCGTGCATGCATGGAGGCAATCATGCATGCCTAGAAGAATCGTGCTCGCATTGCGCGTGCGCAGAAAGGTCACACGCACGTTGCATGTAGAGGAGAATTGTGTGCATGGGGCGAGCGCGTGGGGCTGTTCGTATGCTTGCGAATTGGCACGCATGCGGGCATGCTTTTCTGCACGGTTGGCATGCTTAACGTGGAGCTACTGTTTGTGGCCAAAATTTGGACTCCTTTTTGCATAATTTTCGTGTGTTTTTTTTTTCTTCAAAAATTACATAGGATAAAACCTGTAGTTATTTTAATATTAAAATTATTATTATTTTAATAAAAATATATCCCTTAAGAGTATTTAATTATTATTTTAAGTTATAAATTAAGATAGAATTTTATTTTCTAATCGCATGGCCAAATAGTCTCTTGCTGACTGTTGCCTTCGGGCTTAACCTGTATGTTTAGTGCTAGTTGAGCCACAAATACGTCTCCTTATATTGGTCGAGCTATATTCTCTGCGTCCACCAGTGGTATATCTTTTTGTTCATCACTACTTTCGTGGTCACTGACGATATCTCCATCATCTCAGGGAATCATGGCACGTCGATTAGGACATTGGGATGTAATATGCCCCACTCCTAAGTACTTGAAACATTTAATAGTGCTTTAACAAGTGGTTGGTGCCTTAGAATTTATTGTTGGATTCCTAGTGGGTTGTTTTCCCTTATTGTCACTCAATTTCTTACTGTCATCCCTTCGAGTCCATCTTTGGTTTCCCTGGGGAGTGTTATTAACATTCCCCTTATTAGTTCCTCTACTATTCAATTGTCTTTCAATCTTGGTGGCCTTGTGCACCATCTCGTCCTAGTCGACATAGTTTTGGAGTTCAAGGATGTTGGTGATATCCTTGTTTAGACCCTCCAAGAACTGAGCCATGGTGGCTTCCAAGCGTTCATCAACTCAGGCTCTAATCATAGTTATCTCCATTTTCTTATAATACTCTTCCATTGACTTAGAACCCTGAGTCAAGCATTACAATCTCAGGTTCATGTCCCTGTCGAAATGAGCTAGCACAAACCGCTTCCTCATGATGGATCTCAATTTTCCCCATGCAGTGATAGGCAAGTCTCCATCTCGTTCTTGGAGAAGAGCTAACTGATTCGACCATACTGAGGCATAGTTGAGAAACTCAAGGGTGGCCAACTTGAGTTTTTTCTCTTCATTATAGTTGCTATAACTGAAAATATGATTGACTTTCCGTTCCGATTCAAGCTAGGCTTCAGGGTCATTCTTCCCTTGAAAGGCTAGTATCTAGAACTTGAAGTCATGGAGATCTTTGTCCGTCTATTTGCTACGACCTCCTTGTTTTTCACCTACATCGTCGTCACACGATCCTGTTTCATCGCGCACTATTTGGCGTCTGGTGCGATTGTGATGCTCGCCTCGCTCCTGGTGATCCATACAGGCAACCATGTTTCCAGAGTAGACACTTAACTGGGTGAACATGTCCATGACTCTTTCTTCTAAAGTGGTTGGTCGGCTGTTGGCGCTTTGGTGAGACATTACAGAGTTCCTACAAAGACAAGAGTTAGTAAAAATAATCTCTCCAGAAGAACTTAAAGAAGCTAATTTTACCAAAAATGCTAAAAGAAAAAAAAACCGAAACTCTCAAGAATTCTTTCAAATTTATTCTCAACGGTGTGTTAAAGACCTATTTATAGCATTTCTCGGGCAATCTAGATGAGTACAAAATCTTAAGATAATTAATAAAATATTAACCTAGATAAAATTCTATCTTAATCTAAGATAAATACAAAATAAAATAATTATTCTATCCTAAATAAATTAATTAAATAATTCTAAGGGATATACTTACATTAAAATAATATTTAATTTTAAATTCATATTTATCCCATGTAAAATTCAGTAAACAAATATGTGGAAACTAATTTTAACATATAGGTTTTAAAAAGTGGGTCCCAAGCCTTTTTAAAAGGGTTTTAAAATAAAATAAATATTAAATAATATTTTAAAATAAAGAAAAAGAGGGTCGGCTGGTCCGCGTGGGTTACACGGGGGAAAGCCCACGAAAATCACGGGCTAGCGGGCTTGGTTCGTTCTGCTGGGCCATTTGCGGGCCTGTCAGCATGGGATGAGCGTGTTTTGCCTTTGGGCCTACGCGCGCGGTTGGTTCCGCGCTGGCCTAGTGGGCTGCATGCATGGGCATTTTTGTGCACTCGTGCGTGCGGTTCGTGCATGCTCAGGAACCATGCGGGTTGGGCCGCATGTCCGATGTACATGTGGGCTTTTATTCCTACGTGTGGGCCTCCAGATCTTTACTTCGAGAAGGTTGTCTTTTTTTAATTTTTCTGCGGAGTATAAGGTCGCCCTGAATGCCTTACCACGGGATCGGGGAACACCGGTAGATATGCAGGCTAAGTATCCTGTATGTGCATTGCAACGCATGTGTACCCCACGGGTACCCAAA